GCTTTTACTATACGGACCTTTGTTGGCAAGGTGATGTCTCTACTTTTTAAGATGCTGTCTAGGTTTGTCATTGCTTTTTTCCCAAGAAGCAGGCGTCTTTTAATTTTGTGGCTGCTGTCACCATCTGCAGTGATCATGGAGCCCAAGAAAGTAAAATCTCTCACTGTCTCCATTTCTTCCCCTTCTATTTGCCGGGAGGTGATGGGCCCAGTGGCCATGATCTTCGTTTTTTTGATGTTGAGCTTCAGAGCATATTTTGCGCTCTCCTCTTTCACCCTCATTAAAAGGTTCTTTAATTCCTCCTCACTTTCTGCCATCAAGGTTGTGTCATATGCATATCTGAGGTTGTTGATATTTCTTCCGGCAATCTTAATTCCGGCTAGGGATTCATCCAGCCCAGCCTTTCGCATGATGAATTCTGCATATAAGTTAAATAAGCAGGGAGACAATATACAGCCATGTCGTACTCCTTTCCCAATTTTGAACCAATCAGTTGTTCCATATCCAGTTCTAACTGTAGCTTCTTGTCCCACATAGAGATTTCTAAGGAGACAGATGAGGTGATCAGGCACTCCCATTTCTTTAAGAACTTGCCACAGTTTGCTGTGGTCGACACAATCAAAGGCTTTTGCATAGTCAATGAAGCAGAAGTAGATGTCTTTCTGGAACTCTCTAGCTTTCTCCATAATCCAGAGCATGTTTGCAATTTGGTCTCTGGTTCCTCTGCCCCTTCTAAATCCAGCTTGCACTTCTGGGAGTTCTTGGTCCACATACTGCTTAAACCTGCCTTGTAGAATTTTAAGCATAAGCTTGCTAGCGTGTGAAATGAGTGCAATTGTGCGATAGTTGGAGCATTCTTTGGCACTGCCCTTCTTTGGGATTGGGATGTAGACTGATCTTCAATCCTTTGGTCACTGCTGAGTTTTCCAAACTTGCTGGCATATTGAGTGTAGCACCTTAACAGCATCATCTTTTAAAATTTTAAATAGTTCAGCTGGAATACCATCACTTCCACTGGCCTTGTTATTTGCAGTGCTTTCTAAGGCCCATTTGACTTCACTCTCCAGGATGTCTGGCTCAAGGTCAGCAACCACACTACCTGGGGTGTACGAGCCATCCATATCTTTCTGGTATAATTCCTCTGTGTATTCTTGCCACCTCTTCCTGATGTCTTCTGCTTCTGTTAGGTCCTTCCCACTTTTGTCTTTTATTATGGTAATCTTTATACGAAATATTCCTTTCATATCTCCAATTTTCTTGAACAGATCTCTGGTTTTTCCCATTCTATTGTTTTCCTCTATTTCTTTGCATTGCTCGTTTAAGAAGGCCTTCTTGTCTCTGCTTGCTATTTTTTGGAAATCTGCATTCAATTTCCTGTATCTTTCACTATCTCCCTCGCATTTTGCTTGCCTTCTCTCCCCCGCTATTTGTAAGGCCTCCTTGGACAGCCACTTTGCTTTCTTGCATTTCCTTTTCATTGGGATGGTTTTTGTTGCTGCCTCCTGTATAATGTTGCGAGCCTCCATCCATAGTTCTTCAGGCACTCTGTCCACCAAATCTAAATCCTTAAACCTGTTCCTCACTTCCACTGTATATTCAAAAGGGATTTGATTTAGATTGTATCTTACCGGCCCAGTGGTTTTTCCTACTTTCTTCACTTTAAGCTTGAATTTTGCTATAAGAAGCTGATGATCTGAGCCACAGTCAGCTCCAGGTCTTGTTTCTGCTGACAGTATAGAGCTTCTCCATCTTTGGCTGCAGAGAATAGAATCAATCTGATTTCGATGCTGCTCATCTGGTGAGGTCCATGTGTAGAGTCGTCTCTTGTGTTGTTGGAAAAGCGTGTTTATGATGACCAATTTGTTCTCTTGACAGAACTCTATTAGCCTTTGCCCTGCTTCATTTTGAACTCCAAGGTCAAACTTGCCAGTTGTTCCTTTTATCTCTTGATTCCCTACTTTAGCATTCCAATCCCCTATTATGAGAAGAACATCCTTCTTTGGTGTCATTTCTAGAAGGTGTTGTAAGTCTTCATAGAACTGGTCAATTTCAGTTTCTTCAGCACCAGTAGTTGGTGCATAAACTTGGATTACTGTGATGTTAAAAGGTCTGCCTTGGATTCGTATCGAGATCATTCTATCATTTTTGAGATTGCATCCCAATACAGCTTTCGCCACTCTTTTGTTGACTATGAGGGCCACACCATTTCTTTTACGGGATTCTTGCCCACAGTAGTGTTAGAGGGGTTTTTTCCTCTGGTGGCAGATGACAGAAACTACAACACCACGAGACCGGTGTAAAACCAAATCAAATAAAGGTTTTATTACAAAAACAACAAAGCTTGTGGGTGTTTTCTCCCTGCAGGCAAAGTTCAAATTGCAACTTTTGCTCCTTTTGTAGTCATGACCAGCTGTACCCAATCAGCCCAGAGTTCACAAAAACAGTTCTTAAAGGTACAAACATCTTTACTGTTTCTTTGCAGAATGACTCCCAACACCCCTCTCCTTCAAACAGAAACAGAAACAAAACAGTACTTTAAACATATACAAAACATATTTATACATCATGCACAACAATTCCTAATTTTGTCACTAGTTGTGCAGGTTTCTCAAAAGTTAGTGCTTTCGTAAATATATCAGCCACATTTTGCATGCTCTCACAGTATTTTAGCATTATCAGGTTTTGTTTAATATTTTCACTTACATTTTCATACTTTATTTCTACATGTTTGGATTTATTTTTAAACTGCTCAGACGCAGCCAAAGTTATTACAGCTTTATTGCCTTCCCATATTTGAACTGGATAATCACATTGTATATCTAAATCCTTGAGGATTTGAACGTAAAATTCTATTTCATTACACAATTCTGATAAAGCACAGTATTCAGCCTCTGTTGAAGATGTGGCCACAATTCCTTGCTTTTTGGACTTCCAACCTATCAAGGAATCCCCAAATTGAAACACCATACCAGAAATGGATTTTCTATCAGGCAGGTTGGCCCAATCGCTGTCAATGTAACACTGTAATTTTGTAGACCCTGAGGATGGTAATCATAAACAATTATCAAGTGTATGCTTTAAATACAGGAAAATACATTTTAAACCTTTCCAGGCATTTTTTGTGGGAAAGCTTACTAGTCTGCTCAGTATCCCAACGGCATAACTCAGATCTGGTCTGCTCCACAATGAAATGTATAATAAACTTCCAACTATTGAATGGTACATTTCAGGATTTACTGGTTCTGTGCATTCTCCTTCATTCTTGAAAAAACCTATTTCCATTGGGGTTTTTACTCCCTTGCTATTTTGCATATTCTTTCTTTCAAGTAATTCCATTATTTTATCTTTTTGACTCAACAAAAAACTTCCATCGTTTGTCCTTTGAATTTCTAGACCGAGATAATTTTTCACTGGACCTAAATCTCTTACTTTAAATTTCTTTCCTAGTTGTTCTGCAAATTTTTCCACTTGCTTGTCATTTTTTGTAGAATAAAGCAAATCATCAACATAAGACAAACATAATTCTTGTTTATTACCCTTTCCTTTAGTGTACAAGCAGTTATCAGCTAAGCTTCTTTTAAAGCCAAGATTTTTTAAACCATTATCAAGACACTCGTTCCAATTTCTAGCTGATTGTTTGAGCCCATAGATTGCTTCGTGTAACCTATATACAGAATTCTGTTTTCCTGCCTCAAAACCTAGTGCTTGATTCATAAAAATTTCTTCATGCAGATTTGCCTTAACATAGCAAAATGATTTACCTTAAACCCACGTTGTGCTGCAAGAGCTAGCAATAAACGTACACTTTCGGTCCTTGCAGTAGGAGAAAAGGTTTCATCAAAACTTTCACCTTTTCTTTGCGTAAAGCCTCGTGCTACCAGCCTAGCTTTGTACTTAACACTACCATCTGCCAAGTGTTTTATTTTATGCACCCATCTACAGTCCACTGCCTTTTTTCCTTCTAGCAATGACTCAATAGTAAACACATTATGTTCTGCCAAAGATTTCATTTCTGCTCTCATTTCATTTTTCCACCTTACTATTTCCTGGTGTGGTAACTTTAAAACCTCCTCATAATCACAAGGTTCTTTCTTCACATCAACAGTTTTAGCTTCTTGTATAGTAAACCTTTCTGGAGGTACCCCCTTATTGCTTCTTTGTGATCTTCTAACTTGAACACTTTCCCCCTGGGAGATTGTGTACTGGGACTCTCATCCCCTGATTCCTCATCACTATCACTTTCAGAACTTTCTTTAATTTGTGGCTTTTCTTCCCCAGATTTCACAAATTTATCAGTATCATCTGAAGATAAAACAACTTCTGAATTTCCATGTAAACGAGCCCAACCATCTTGCTCACAAAACTCTGCATGTCTTGATATCACAACTCGGCCACGCACTAGTGCAAAAAGATACCCTTTTGACCAACTTTGATAGCCAACAAACCTAAGTTTCTTTGCCTTGGGATCTCCTTTCCTTCTCTGTCCTTTTGGGATGTGAACCCAAGCCCAGCAACCAAAAGTTTTAACATGGTCCAAAAAAGGTTTTTTTTTTTTTTTCCATAAAGCAAAAAAATGAGGGGTATTGTTTATGGTAGAATGAAACAATCTGTTCTGTATGTAATTAGCACAGAGAATTGCTTCCCCCCAAAACTTCCTGGATAAGCCAGAATCACATAGCATAGAATCTACCGGCTATAATCATCCACAAGAACCAGGAAAAACTTCAGATTCCGCAATTGGCCCACAAAGGTCTGAGTGTACTAAAGCAAATGGCTTCTTGCTAATTCTGTTACTTTCAGGATAAGATCCCCGCTTACTTTTAGACTCCTTGCAGGTATTGCAGTCCAGAAAAACTGAACATTTTTTCATTTTATTTATTTTTTATTTTTAAAAAAATAATATTTATTACTTTTCCAAAAATTTAAACAATAAAAAAAATACAATACAATACATTAAACTAACAAAACAAAACAAAAACAATAAAATAAATCCAACAATGGACCAAGATGGCGCCGAGGCAAGTCACGCTCTCCGGCGCTCACTTTTATTTTTAAAAAACCTTATCTTAATTGCCCTCCGGATGCCAATTTTTAACAAACGGAAAACATTTTAAAGACTCTGAACATTTTTATAACTCCTGTCGGCTCTGCGAGCTTCAGCTTGTCCCAGCCTGCTCCCTCCCTCCTTATCAGCTGCCCGGTCAAGGTTGCCAGAGAGGAGAGAACGCTGCTGCCTGAACTGAGAGCAGAGAGACAGAAGAGGTCTAAAGACAGAACTGTGAACTGCTTATCCGACCAACGGTGCCTGGAGAAGGAGGGTAAGGAGAGATACGACTGTGAGCTTTGCTTTGAGATTGGCCCATAGACACCCAGCTCAGCTGAACACAGAGAAAGATAAAGCTTGGAGATTCGGGGGTTAACTGAACTGACTGACCCCCGCCCAGCTGGGGGGCTGTGTGAACTAGCTGGGGACAACATTCCTGCTTAGTTGAAGAGGAAGTGCTGTAGCTGGAAAGACTCTTCATTTTAATAAACTCTTTCGAGGAGACCAGCTTTTATATTCTCAGAGACTCCTGGTGAAGGCACCCTGAGTCTTTTACAGGAATTTTTTAATCTACACAATAACTCCACAACAGTGTATCGGATAGGACCTTCTGGAGGTTTGGAAAACCGGCTTCAGCAAGATATCGTTCTGTGCCCTGCCTTATGTGGTAGGCCTTTGAAAGACTACCTAGAAGGAATCAGCGAACCAGCCCACAGAAAGTTTCCCTTCTGGGGCTCTTGGATATCCTTCGTTCAGTATGGGGCGGTGGAAGATGGCCTCTAAAGACTAAGCTAAGACCCGAAATACAAGGTTATCATAGCTGTACATGCGCTATAGCCAAACTCCACTATTATCCTTTTCCAGCTGCACACAAATTGCCTAAATAAGGCAATTTTAATTTTAATGTAGTTTTTAGCCGTTTTATTACTGCTGTCTCTTTGGCAGCATTGTTTTATTATTATATTCTGACTAGGTTGCAGCATTTGTGAAACAGCGCTGGTCGCATGATTGAGGTGAAAACTACAGGCTTAGGACAATTGCCAAGATCTAAAAGCAGAGAACTCAAAATAGAGAAATATATTGAGGCTGTTGATGAGCACATCAGGAAGCTGTTGCAGAGAGCAGGTGGGAATATAGATTGATACCCCACTTGCCCCCCAATCTAAGGCAGTCGCACCTGGGGTAAACTGCCCTCTCTCTATATCGAGACCACTTTTACCATGGTTTTTACTAGGAGAAAATACAAGGAGTTGGGTATACTGCCTGACTCGGCAATCAGCCCCTCGGGCCCTGGTAAAAGACAAAGCAAAATCACAAATTACTTTCCTAAGATGGAGGAGGGTAAGAGTCCACAAAAAGAGTTAATTCTTGATGAAGTAATACCCCCCTCTCTTACTGTTCTTGATTGGACATCTAATTTTAAAGAGATATACCAAGATACTGGAAATATTAACTCCCCATGCAGCCTAGCGCAAGAACTAGCTTTAGCCGAGGAACTTCAGGAGGGAAATACCTCTATTACTAAGGAACAGCTGCCCACGGAAGAAATTACATCAACCCATCAAAACCAGATACTTACTCCAAAATACTCTCAAACAGAATTGAGTGACGGTCGCCCTTTGGATTATTCCCTAGCAATAAGTTCTGATTTAGCCAACATAAAAATTATCTAACAATAACAAATGGGCTACTGCTGACGTTAGTAGAAAATTTCACATCTCAATTAAAAGAGTTAAAATTAAATGATATGCCACAAGAACATAAAACAGTTGAGCTAGCGTCGATGAACAAACCAGTAATAAATAAGAATCTGCAAAGACATAACTCAAGGGTAAAAGTGAAGAAAAGTAAAAATATTAAAACAACAAGGATAGCCAAGCATACCCGCAGTAATCGAAACATACATTGGCAGAAATTGTTTAAACTTCTTCCCCCAGCCCCAAATAAATCGACCACACGGGGCAGCAAAAGAAGGGTAAAAAGAGAGAAACAAAGGTAGTTACACAGCAACCGGCTAAGGAGGACTCGCTAAGGCTGACTCCAGTAGCAAATGAGAAGGCAGAAGTAACAACTCAGTCCTTGGATAACCAACTTTTTAATAAACCTGATGCTGCGGAAGTAGAGGCCTCTTTCTATGAAGGCAATAAAACACTTAGTAAACCGAACAGCGGGGAAGAGGAAGCGTTTAGTAGAGATGATACCCCCCTTCAGACCTGGCAAGCCTCCAGTCAGAAAAGAGATTGGAATTTGATCCTAAATCCCCAAAAACTGGTATTCACGAACTTCCCGAAGCCTAAGGGCTTCCTTACAGGGAAACAGCGAATAATGAACTTTGTATCTAGTCTAAATGACATACTGCCAGGAATGGTTAATGCTAATGATATCACCTCGGTGGAATATTTACATTATGATGGTCACTCAGTGAGAGCACTGACCACTTTTAGGGATCAGAACCTGGCCAAGTATATTTTTAGGTCAAGACCTGCCTTTTTAAAAGCACGGACAATAATACTTAGGTTCTTTGAAAATAAGGCTCCTTTGAGCCCCCTTTTGAAAACTAAGCAGGCAAATCTTAGAAAGGGGAAACAACTCTCAAAATCCTGGCCTGACAAACAGAACCCGCAATGCCTTGCAAGTAAAGGTGAGGATTTCTTTACTATGGAAGAAAATATCCTAATTGACCAATTCTGGATGTTCCCACCATTAATACAAACTGACATCTTGGGAAGACTAGATAAGCTAAGAGATAAGCTGGCTGAGAGAGCTTCAGGCAACGAGGTTATCAAGGGGGACCAAAAAAAGACCACAACACGTAACCTTCAGATCAAAGCGGAGATTAACTTTCCACCAAGAGAGAATGTGCCACCCTTCAAGGAGAGTACTCCATCACCCCCCCGAAAGAGAAATATCCCCAAGGTGACCCCACAAGACGTATGGGACAAAATGAGATACCTAGATGAAACAGAATTGGGCCAAAATCAGGCCAAAACAGACTATCCACAGAAGGAATTTATGCATAATAAAGAGCTGGTGTTCACAAACGTGAGCACTTTGCATCCACCTATTGAAATCATAGAGCGGCTGGATAGCCCGCCATTCAAAGACGATAGGCGTCCGATACATAAAGCGACAAACCCTAAAAGTACGTTAGCTAATAATTGACAAAGATTTGATTGTGATAAAGCCAATCTTAAATTTTTATCATGGAACATTGCTGGTTGGCTCAACAAGGCGACTGACCAATCATTTGTCAATTTTATTCAAGATCATGATATAGTCTTCTTGCAAGAGACATGGCTAACAGGGGATCTAGATGTAAATGGTTTTGCCTCATTTTCGCTCGCAGGCTCACCAAGCAACAAAGGGGGACGAGTTAAGGGTGGGCTAGGCATTTTAATATCCACAAGGCTGAGAGCATCTTTCGTCGAGCTGGAGCCTCTGAGCAGTGTGGCCATGGCATTATTGATGAAATGCAGATATTGCACACTTCTATTGATTAATATATATGCCCCTCCCCAAAGAGGCAAGCAGCTTATCAAAAATCTCTGGCATAGGATAGAATCTTATGTCGATGAGCTAATGAATCAAACTCCTGCTGCGGCAGTGCTGCTGGCTGGGGATTTAAATGCCAGAATTGGCCAATCAGACGAAGCGTTATATGCTCATTTTCACGACGTACCTCCCATTTCTGAAGAAGCCCATTCTATTCCCCCAAGGCTCTCAAAAGACAAGGGCTGCAATTACGCAGGCCTATGCCTTCTACGTTTTCCAACAATCTGGATTTGACTGTATTAAATGGTCGTGTCGACAGAGAACCCAGTGGGGAATTTACATTTATATCCAACATGGGAGCCTCCACTATCGATTACGTCCTGGTGTCATCTAACCTTTTGAGCAGAGCACGGGAATGTAAAGTGGTGGAGAGGGTTGACAGCGACCATCTACCGTTCTGTTTAATACTGGATGTAAGAAAAGATTTATTTTGCTCTGATAAACTTGTAGCCCCATGCTTCGAAAACATGGAGCTAAGATACTCACGTATTAAATGGTCCAGCAAATTGAGTGATGAAATATCGGAAAGACTTCACTCAGATATTTTTCTTGCTAGAAAGGAGAACCTCGTTAATTCCCCAACTCCTGAGGCCAGATTAGACATGTTCCGGGAACTGATTTCGTCGCTACAACCTTATCTGACCAACAAAAAACGCCACGGCAATCTCTACACTTTAATAAATCCAAACCTTGGTTTGACCAAGAATGCATGGCTATGAAACGCCTCCTGCTGGATAAGTACAGGAACTATAGAACAGCGAACTTACCTTCGCTTCCATTAGACTGGTTTGAGTCAAAACGCAGTTATAAAGCTTTGATTAGCAAGAAAAAGCTCCAGGCACAAAGGGAGGAATGGCAGTGCCTAGTGGAGGCCTCCCAAAGGAAAGATTCTGCCACGTTTTGGAAAATAATTGCAAAAAGCTGGAGAGACTCCCGATTGAAATCGAATACTCTATACCCGCTGGAGCATGGGAGGCCTATTTCCTCTCATTATATTCATCAAATCAACTGGCCCCAGCTCTGCTTCCTGCTTCAAGTGAATTTGGTAAGGAATGGCCCCTGTAACCATAGAAGAAATTACTGGACTTATTCAAGCTCTTAAATCAGGGAAAGCCCGGGTGCTGACAATATCCCACCAGAAATTCTTAAGGCAAATGTCGAATGGTGGGCCCCTGTGCTAGCCGCCTTGTTCACTAGTATAAATCAAGCGGCTATTATCCCCGAGGACTGGGGTTTAGCCATCATCATTCCAATATTTAAGAAAGGAAACAGAACTGAGCCAGCTAACTATAGACCAATCAGTCTATTAAGTATTATTAGCAAACTGTATGCTGCTCATTTATGTGATAAATTAGTGGAGTGGATGGAAAGAGAGCATATTCTATCAGAAGCTCAAGCCGGTTTTAGAGCAAAGCGTTCAACTATAGACCAGGCCCTTACCCTTCAACACCTGGCAGACAAATATTCTAGAAAAGGGGGGTCTTTATATGCAGCATTCGTGGATTTTAAATCGGCGTTTGATCTAATACCAAGGGATAGACTCTGGGAAAAGCTTGGCGCTACAAACATAGATAAACGCTTATTACGCCTTATCCGTGGTCTATACGAAAACACCAGGGTGAGGGTAAGATGCGATCGGTCAGGCCATCTAACTAAAGAAATTCAAACGCACTATGGGGTTAAACAAGGATGTGTCCTCGCGCCAACGCTATTTAATTTCTATATCAACTCTCTAGCAGTAAATATGGCGAAAGAAAATGCCCACCCTCCCAAACTGGCAGGTATTCCCATCCCGGTGCTTCTGTATGCGGACGACGCAGTCCTACTCTCCTTTTCCTGCATTGGCCTGAGGAAGCTTTTGAGATCACTTGCTGACTATTGTCAAGCGGAACAACTATCAATAAATTACAGCAAATCTAAAATTATGGTGTTTTCAAAAAAGAAGGAAACACAAATGGAGAATTAATGGTCAACCTATTGACCAGGTAGCAACTTTCAAATACCTGGGAATAACTTTTCAGGAAAGGGTCTCGTGGCATCAACAGATGAAAAACGCCATTGCCAACGCAGGAAGGGCTAATAAAGCCCTTACAAGATTTTTTCACGGGAAAGGGGGTAAATACGTTCCGGCGGCCTCCCAGGTTTTTGCTGCAAAAATACTCCCACAACTTACTTATGGATCCCAGGTTTGCAGTTTTAAAAATTTTGCGCCTATGGAGGCATTTCAAACAAAATTCTATCGGTGTTTATTGGGGATCCCCCCCTGTGTATCTAATATAGCTGTCCGCTTAGAAGTTGGACAACCACCCGTTAATGCGCGGCTGTGGATTCTAAAGATACACTACTGGTTAAAACTTATTTTTGCCACGGCCGGTTTGGCTCCTTTAACACTCTTAGACACCTTTCATTCCACCTGGAAAGCTTCCCTGTTTGAAAAGATAAGAAGCTTGGGATTCTCCCTGCAGATCTTGATAGCGGCAGGATATGAGAGAGCCAGAAGTCAAGTGCTCCAACGCATTAGGGACATAGAGCTGCAATGTCATATGGGCAAAATGGATAAACATGCCATAATTAGAGACTTTGGGAGAGGGTTCTCACCCGCAAATTATTTGGCTGATTTACAAATACCTAAGTACAGACACTCCTTTACCCTGGCCAGATTTAACGTTCTGCCCTCTGCCCTGCTGCTAGGCAGATATGAGGGCAAACCATATGAGTCACGTGTTTGCCCGTGTGGCTCATCGGAAGTGGAAACAAGTCTGCATGTATTGCTGCACTGTAGTTACTATGAGGATCTACGCTTGACCTTTATTGCCCCAGTTCTACAAAAGCTTAAAAATGAACCAGAACTCCAACGTATGAGAGCCTTGGTAGAAGATAAGGTTTCTGAAATTACGATCAATGTGGCCAAATTTTGTGTAGCCGCTATTAGGCGCAGGAAACAAGAGCTTTCCAATGTCATTACGCAGGCGAAGGCAAATACTTAATTTTTTATTTATGCTGTCTAATTTTAAATTGCAGTTATGTATTGAAATTGTCCTTTGTTTTTTCCGGTGTTATGCTTCGCTGACTAGCTGTACGAGTTAATCTGGTCTGTGACCGTTTAATAAATTTGATTTGATTTGAATCCAACAATTTCACTATCCCATCTTTCATTCACTTATTTCCACGACCTCCTCACACCTCCCTTTTTGTATTCCACTTCTGTTAATTATTTCAGCAATTCCTTTCCATCTTCCTCTGTTTTCTATCCTATAATTATCTTAACTCATTCTAACCTTATTTTTTCCTTTAATACTCTATTAATCTATTTATACTTAATTCCTTATAACATTTCTGCTAAAGCCATATAGGTTCATTCCAACGTTTTTCTAACATTCATTAATTTTACAGTATTTCTGTAAATAGTCTTTGAATTTTTTCCAGTCTTCTTCCACCGACTCTTCTCCCTGGTCTCGGATTCTGCCAGTCATTTCCGTCAGTTCCATATAGTCCATCAACTTCATCTGCTATTCTTCCCGGGTTGGTAAATCTTGTGTCTTCCAATATTTTGTGATGAGTATCCTTGCTGCTGTTGTTGCATACATAAAAAAAGTTCTATCCTTCTTTGACACCAATTGGCCAACCATGCCCAGGAGAAAAGCCTCTGGTTTCTTCAGAAAGGTACCGTATTTTTCGCTCTATAACACGCACCCGACCATAACACGCACCTAGTTTTTAGAGGAGGAAAATCTGTAGGCATGCCACCCGTAGGCATTCCCTCCATAACACGCACAGACATTTCCCCTTACTTTCTAGGAGGAAAAAAGTGAGCGTTATGGTGCAAAAAATACGGTATATTTAAATACCTTTTTCATTTTGTTATAAATCATCTCCCAGAATGTCTTAATCCTTGGGCATGTCCACCAAAGGTGAAAGAATGTACCTTCAGTCTCGTTACATTTCCAACATTTATTGTCGGGCAAATGGTAAATTTTTGCAAGCTTGACTGGTGTCATGTACCACCTGGAAATCATTTTCATTAAGTTTTCTCTTAGGGCATTACATGCCGTAAATTTCATACCTGTGGTCCATAACTGTTCCCAGTCAGCCATCATTATGTTATGTCCAACATCTTGTGCCCATTTAATCATGGCTGATTTCACCGTTTCATCCTGAGTGTTCCATTTCAACAGCAAGTTATACATTTTTGACAAATTCTTAATTTTGTTTTTTTTTGTTTTTTTTTTTTAACAATTAATTGCATATTTATTTAACATCCAAATAAAACTCTTTGCTTTAATGAATTCAACAAAATTTATGAACTTGATCCGGTGATACCCGCTTTTCTTTTCTTTTTTTTTTTTGGAAATAATTTTTATTAAAGTTTTAAACAAAGAAAAAAGAAAAAACAACACACACAGAAAAACAATACAAAATTTAACAATAAAAACACAAAACATAACAATTAAAAACAAACTCTCTTTTCCATTCCCAATTTTAAATTACTTATTTTCTGGACTTCCTCATACCTCCCTCTTTTGTATTCCAATCTACATTATTTGTCCAGCAGTTTCTTTTCCACTTTTTAAACCCAATCTTTAATTTAGTAAAATATTAAAATATATAGCTTCAACTTTTTTAAACATAATCCTTGTTCTTAATGTCATATACCTTTAAATTTTTCCCTTTTATTATCAAATTTCCATTTCTTTAAACATCTTTAATCTTGATCTTTAATCTTAATCTATCCTTAGCTTTAACCTGTACAGCTGGAAACCACTTATTTTCAATCCAACATCACTCTAACATTCCTTAATTTTGCAGTGTTTCTGAAGATAGTCTTTGAATTTCTTCCAGTCTTCCTCCATCGACTCTTCTCCCTGGTCACGGATTCTGCCAGTCATTTCCGCCAATTCCATATAGTCCATAAGTTTCATCTGCCATTCCTCCAGCGTGGGAAGTTCTTGTGTCTTCCAATACTTTGCGATGAGTATTCTTGCTGCTGTTGTTGCATACATAAAGAAAGTTCTATCCTTTTTAACACCATTTGGCCCACTATGCCCAGGAGAAAGGCCTCTGGTTTCTTGGGGAAGGTATACTTAAATACCTTTTTTAATTCATTATATATCATTTCCCAGAAAACCTTAATCTTTGGGCACGTCCACCAAAGGTGAAAAAATGTACCTTCAGTTTCTTTACATTTCCAACATTTGTTATCGGGCAAGTGATAGATTTTCGCAAGCTTGACTGGGGTTATGTACCACCTGTATATCATTTTCATATTATTCTCTCTCAAGGCATTACATGCCGTAAATTTCATACCAGTGGTCCATAACTGTTCCCAGTCAGCAAACATAATGTTATGTCCTACGTCCTGTGCCCATTTAATCATAGCCGATTTTACCGTTTCATCTTGAGTATTCCATTTCAGCAGCAAGTTATACATTCTTGACAGATTCTTAGTATTGGGTTCTAACAATTCTGTTTCTAATTTTGATTTTTCCACCTGGAAGCCAATTTTCCTGTCTAATTTAAATGCCTCCATTATTTGATAATAATGGAGCCAGTCTCGCACTTTGTTTTTTAATTTTTCAAAACTCTGCAATTTCAGTCTATCTCCGTCTTGTTCCAAAATTTCCCAATATTTCGGCCATTTGACCTCCATATTGACCCTTTTCAAGGCTTTCGCTTCCATTGGTGACAGCCACCTTGGGGTTTTATTTTCTAGCAAATCCTTATATCTAATCCAAACATTAAATAACGCTTTCCTGACAATGTGGTTTTTGAATGCTTTGTGTGCTTTGACCTTATCATACCATAAATATGCATGCCATCCAAATACATTATTGAAACCTTCCAAATCCAAAATGTCAGTGTTTTCAAGAAGTAGCCATTCTTTCAACCAGCAAAAAGCTGCTGATTCATAATAAAGTTTAAGGTCTGGCAGGGCAAATCCACCTCTTTCCTTTGCATCTGTCAGTATTTTAAATTTTATTCTAGGTTTCTTGCCCTGCCAGACAAATTTAGAAATATCTTTCTGCCACCTCTTGAAACAGTCCATTTTGTCGACAATCTGCAAAGTTTGAAACAAAAACAACATTCTAGGCAATACATTCATTTTTATCGCAGCAATACGGCCTAGCAGTGAAAGCTTCAAGTTTGACCAAATTTCTAAATCTTTTTTCACTTCTGACCAACATTTTTCATAGTTATCTTTAAATAAATTCCCATTGTTGGCTGTCATGTTAATCCCCAGGTATTTAACTTTCTTAACCACTGTTAACCCTGTCTCATTCTGAAACCTCTCTCTTTCAAACGGTGTTAAATTTTTCTCTAAAACCTTGGTTTTTAATTTGTTCAATTTAAATCCTGCCACTTGACCAAATTCTTGAATCAGTTCTAAAACCCTTTTAGTACTAGATTCTGGCTCCTGTAACGTCAATACTAAGTCATCTGCAAATGCTCTCAATTTATAGTGTTTAGTTCCGACCTGTATACCTTTAACCAACTGGTCCCTTCTAATCATGTTCAGCAACACCTCCAGGACCGAAATAAAAGAAGAGGGGAAATTGGGCACCCTTGTCGTGTCCCTTTTTCAATTTTAAGTTCTTCCGTCACAACGTTATTTACAATTAGTTTAGCCTTTTGTTCTGAATAAATTGCACTTATACCATTCTCAAAACCTTGGCCTACCCCCATACCCTGAAGATTCTTCTTCATAAAATTCCAAGAAATATTGTCAAAGGCTTTCTCCGCGTCTACGAATATCAACACTGCTTTAGTGTTTATATTCACTTCTAATTTTTCCAAAATATCAATTATATTCCTTAGGTTATCAGACAAGTGTCTTCTTGGGAGAAAGCCCGCTTGGTCTTTATGAATCTCTTCCAACAGCACTTTTTTAAATCTCTTCGCCAAAATATCTGCAAAAATTTTGTAATCCACATTAAGTAATGATATTGGGCGGTAGTTCTTTAGTTGTGTCTTTTCAGCCTCTGTTTTTGGTACAAGTGTGATATATGCTTCTTTCCACGACTCTGGTGCCCTCCTCCCCTCCATTATTTCGTTGCAGACCTCTTTCAATGGTTGAATTAACCAATCTTTTAAGGATCTGTAGTATCTAGAGGTCAAGCCGTCTGGGCCTGGAGATTTACCCAGTTGCATATTTTGAATGGCACCTTCTATTTCCTGTTCCGTTATTCTGTCATTCAAAATTAGTCTCTTTTCTTGAGATATTTTTGTAATCCCTTTGTTTTCAAAAATTGATCTAAGTCTGTTTCTTTCACGGGCCCTTGAGTGTATAGTCTTTTAAAATACTTCTGGAAACAACTTCTAATCTCTGCAGGGTTCTGTATATTCCTTCCATCCACTTCTAAATTCGTAATCGTGTTTAATTTTTGTCTCTTTTTCATTTGCCATGCCAACAGTTTACCACATTTATTGGCCGATTCAAAAGTCTTTTGTCTCATTTGTTTAATTTTCCATTCTATTTCCTGATTCATTATTTTCATATATTGTACTTGATATAACTTTAACTCTCTCAAAGTCTCTTGAGATTTGGGATTTACTCGCAATCTTTTTTCGCATTCATTCATTTTGTTCATAATTTTATCCTTCTTCTCATTTTGAGTTCTTTTCTTTATCGCATTCTGTTGTATTAAGAACCCTCTCATAACAGCTTTACTTGCATCCCAGATTACTCTTTTCTCCACGTTGGAACTAAGATTTATCTCAAAATAGTCTCTTAAGGTTTTTTGGGCCTTCTTAAGAAAACCTTCATCTCTAAATAAGGTGTCATTCATCTTCCATCTGAAGGAGCCAGTTGGCATTAGTCTCATTTCCATCTTAACAGCGTTATGGTCGGAGCAAATTTTCAGGCAGATTTCCACCTTTCTTGTCTTTGGTGCCATTCCTCTAGTTATCCAAATTTGGTCAATTCTTGTCCAAGTCATTTTGGCTTCAGAAAAGAAAGTTCCCTCTTTTGCCAAGGGGTTTCTAATTCTCCAAATATCCACTAAGTCCAAGTTGTCTGTCATATCAAAAAAGGTTTTCGGTAGTCTACCATCTTTGGTGACTACCTGTCTTTGTGCCTTGTCCATGTAAGTAGATACCACTCCATTCATATCTCCCATCAAAATTATATTATA